ACTGAAGAATTACGGCTGAAACAATTTTCAGCCGCTGCTCAGCAGCTTGATACACAAAAAAGCGGCCTTTGTTTTAATATCGAAGCAAGTCGGAGCGAAGACACGAGCGTATTATATAACAGACTTTGAAATTTTGTTTACGTTACGATGCTTTGAAGTCCACTTTTTATTACTTATGTTTATACTGAACCTCTTTTGTAAGATAATGTATTAAAAAATGCCATCTCTGAGTTCTACTCTTTCTTTATTCTTTCTATTATGTGGTTGCTGTTTGGTTATATAGAACGTGGCGACCGTTAAAATCAAAAGCGTGCTCCCGAGGTCAACGGCAAGCGAAGTTCGAATTTCACTCCTTTGAACTCAATAAACGTTCAAATCAAGGGCGCTAGAACTGAAATTATGACTTATAAGATCCAAAAATTGCTTAATTTATCCAACATAAGATAGTCGATAATAAATTGTAAAGTTTTACTTATCTGAAATATACACTGAAATGTCGTCTTAGACACTAAAAAGCACTTGATTTTACGAAATTCATCCAAATGATCGTTACTCAAGCGGTTGTTGCTGAATTTATAGCCTCCTCCGCAGGCATCACTAAGAATCACGGGCTTCCTGTCTTTTTGATGAGTCAAAAGAGGGAGAATGGGGGCGAGAAAAGGGGAGCGTGTGATGCCTGCCGAATTTCGACATGTTGATGGCCTTCTGCGCAGGTAACTTCGCGCATACAAATCCATTACGTGTGGGGGTCAGTAAGGGCTTTTGATAGCCAAAATAAATTTTGCAGGGACCTAGTTAGTACGTTAGTACCGAGTATTTTAGATAATATGATATGAATGTATCGAAGCGATTCAACAGTTGTCTATTTTCGAGACATTCTTTTTAGATCATCCTTACTAGTAATAGCGTTTAGAAGATTGCTTTAATTATACGTCTCTGTAATTAAGTGAAGTTCATTATTATCAATTTTAAGAAGAGTTTTCGAAGAGATCGAAGTTATGAGCAAGTTGCTCGATCAAATGCCAGGAACGTGACGATGAATTMATTCTAAAACTCCTAAAATAAGCTCAAAATATCCAAATATAGACACAAAAGAAGAATGAAGAAATTTCAATAATATCAATTAAGAACTATATTTGAACAAGGGCGCTAGAACTGAAATTATGACTTATAAGATCCAAAAATTGCTTAATTTATCCAACATAAGATAGTCGATAATAAATTGTAAAGTTTTACTTATCTGAAATA